TAGTTATTCTGAGTATTATAAGGAACCAAAAATAACTGCCAAAATGTATTTTGAGAAATCTGAACTTATTTGCATCCCACAGAGCTGATTCATGTCTAAATTCTTTTTGAAGCCACCAGGGGTTCCGCATTTTCAAGAGCAAGTTAACAAGAAGATAAGAACAAGGGTCTTCACAATTCACTCTGCTTATAAAGATATTATGAAAATGGGTTTTCTTCCATATATACAGGAAAAACAAACTCTATTTGCTTTCTTCTAAGATTGGAGCCAACTTTAAGCAATCTATGTATTTAGAGAAAACTTCTACAGTTTTTTTCCTCCAAAGTCTATAAAATGTAAATTTTACCACAATGAGTAGGCTCTTCCCTAAGTAATTAATATTTGGGATTCACCATATTTTCTTTTGTGTGTCTAAGTTTTCCAATTAAGAAATTTAAATTTTAACTCAATTTTTAACACAACCTATTCTCAAGATGAAAAGATCTTTTCTGGAGCAGTGAACATACTTTAGTTATCAGGAGGCAGAGACTCTCTTGGTGAGAGATACTGCTAAGGTGTAATTAAATGCATCGAAAATGCTCACCAACACTTTCTAGCAAGCTGAAATTTAAAGCAGAGCGAATCCCGCACTGCATTTCTATGTATTTTATTTCAACTTGGCCAAGAGGTATAAATTCTCCCTGAATGAGTAGGGAAGAAAGGGGAGTAGCAGAAAAGGCAAGAATGATGTTAAGAGCTAGAGAAGCAGACGGTGGAAGAGCGTAAAGCACATGATTCAGTGAAAGTAATGGCCTGGAGCGCAGCAACCGGCTGCAGCCCCTTACGGGAGGAGAGATAAAAGACACTTAATACCTGGGACACAGGCTGGGTGGTTTTGTAGACGAATTTTTTTGTCAGATGATTAGGGGATGTTAAGTGAGAACTGCCAAGGTGAGAAAAGGACTAGACTAGCCAAGTGCTGTGTGTGCCTTGAAGCGACCGGAAACCGCTACTTCCTGTGTGTTTCAAATGGCCAGTTCAGGGTGATAGAAAGTCACAGGGGGAAAGAAACGATTCTGCACTTCATTCTCCCTGTAAATGGACAAGAAAGCAGGCACAGTGATAATTAAGTAATACTCTTAGGGAAAGGCACACTGTTATTCTTTAAAACAGAACTCCATGCATTATGGCAGCTACAGCTAATAATACTGTCTTGCCCATTTGAAAGTTGCCAAGAGACATCTTAGAAGTTCCCATCACAAGAAAAAAATGTGTAACTATGCGTGGTGACAGATGTTAACTACCTATCATGGTGCTCATTGTACAATACATACAAACAGCAAATCATTAAGTTGTGCACCTGAAACTAAGAGAATGCTATATGTCAGTTACACCTCAACAAAAAAAGAACTCCTTCCTTAAATCTATATATTTAGGTTCAGCAGTTTATCAGCTCCCATCATGAGAATATCATGGAATGCGAATGATAAAGGTCAGATTCTAACACAGCCCATAAGTCTGTGCTCTTGCAGGTCTCTTGGGAGGGCTCTAGAATCACCCGTGGCCCCTGCGGTAGGCTGTTCTACTTTGACCTTGAATTACCATGTTAAACAAACCCAGTGAATTACACAGGCCAGCCTGTGACCTTATTATTCACAGTGACTTAATGCCCAAATTTTATTTACTGTACATGTAACTGATCTTGTTGGCCACCAGCCATTAGTAATAAGGTCTCCAAATTCAAAGGTCTAAAAAATATTATAGACATGATTTCTCTGACATTTGCAATCTCTGTGTTTAAGGACAGAATCATCTACCTACTAACCATATTTCTTCCAGTCTAATCATACACATATATAAAAAATAAGCTGTATTTCTAAGCATATCCATCACAAACCATTCCTCTAACTAATTGCAATCAGTTTAAATACTGCTTAGTACATAAAATAATGCCTGCTTTCATCTGAAGGGTCTCAAATATAGCATTAACCACAACACACAATAGATTATCCATAACTCAGCTCATGCATAATTAATATGCAGCAAAGTAGATGAATATAATGCTTATATGAACTTCATGTGTTGCAAATATTTTTATCTCATTTACTCTCAGTAAGAGAATTGAATTGTAGATATCATCACTCTCATTTTATATTACTCCCATTTTAGAGATAAGGAAGCTAAACTTCAGTAATATTAGGCGACTTAACCAAAGTCACTCACATAGTAGGCATAGGAAGATTCAGCAATAAAACAACTCAATTCGATATATATGTACTTATCCATTATGCGATCAAATTAAGCTATTAATTTTATCAAGATGAGCATTTGTATTTTCCAAATTACCAAAATAGCTAGATTTTGTGAGGAAGAGCAAGAATGTGGTCATCTAATTAGTACAGGTCAAATATGTGTCTGTGAAAAATAATGACAAGGTTCCTTCTTCCCGTGATTTTCTGCCTGTCCATTCTTCCATATTTTCATCTATAATTTTTTGTTCTGTTCTGTAAAAACTTCTGCTCATGGCCATTATCTCATAGTACAGGTCAAATATGTGTCTGTGAAAAATAATGACAAGGTTCCTTCTTCCCGTGATTTTCTGCCTGTCCATTCTTCCATATTTTCATCTATAATTTTTTGTTCTGTTCTGTAAAAACTTCTGCTCATGGCCATTATCTCCTCAACTAAAATATATATATTCTATATAACGAAGTGATCAAAAGTGTACTGAGGTCACAAGTTATTCTTACAAGTCTGTTTCTTCAGACCACCAACTTGAAAAGAATCATTTCATCTTTTCATATACATAATCTAAAGTCCACCAATTCTCTGCTACTTTTTCTTAAGCAAATATAGATGGCTCCCTCCCGCTTTTCATTTATCTCTTTTTGTCTTTAAATTCTCTCTCCACCTCAAAGTATTTTACTGCCCTTTTTCTGTCTTTTAGCCAATCAAGAGGTTTGGGGTTGTTTTAAATACATGTATTTCCATCCTGAACCTTTTACCATGAACAGCAATCCTGAACTGCCAATATACAGCATGCAAGAGCTAAACACAAACTCGTTTCCTGTCACATAAGTGATTGTGTCTGATTAACTGAAAGGGAAGCACGGAATATTTCTTGTTACCTAATCAAGGAGCCACAAAATTTCTCTAAGAAAAATAACAACAGCATCGCCCAGTAGCTTCATGTGCATTTGTAATTTAAATAACCTAGAGACATGCATTTTCATAATTTTAAATTGACTTACAGGGATTATTTCCATACAAGCATTTTGAGTGATTATGTGAAAGTTATAATTTAAAATAAGTGCGTCTTAAAATTTTAAATTATGTTTATTTCAAAATGTCAACCTCACCCAAGCAATTGATTTAAAACCAAATTAATGGGAATATTTTAGCTGCCTTAGGAAAATTTTACATTCACACAATGTGATTTCACCTAATAACTACTTATCCCTTATGAGTTGAATATTATAGACCCATCTACTGAAAAAGTTTGGCTGAACAGTTAAATGTTCACTAAAAATGAATGAAATTAAAAGCAAGATTCTTAGTCAATAACACTGCATAATGGTTATTGCTTACTTTCTTTACAAGAAAACAAGATTGTGAGATTTAGTAAATGTACTAAACATACTATATGGTGGTGCTATTGATAAACATGGAATGGCTCTAAATAAAATATATATGCACACGAACACTTGTATACTCACATATCCTTTCTTAGAGAAGAAAAACACTGTGACTGGGCTAAAAAAACATCCCAATCCACTTTCCTCTGAACCTTTAATTTATTCAGGTGTCTCTGTGTGCAATACAGTATCAGTCAGTATTTTTAAAATACTGGCATTAAAGGAAAGTAATAATAAATATAATAAAGATGACCTTGACTTATGTAGATACCCATCAACCAAAATAGACTGTTCACTGTTAACCAATGTGTGTTCAAAAGAAGCAAAAACCCATGGAGTAAACAGCAAATATTCTTCCTCAGTCACTCAGAGCTGAAAATTCACCCATAAATTCATCAGGTTGCTGTCCTTCATTTTCTCATAAAACTGCCTTCCTTTTCTCATAAACTGATGCATAAAACTGACCAAGGGAAGGGTAGAAATGCAGATGTATAGGTTTCTTGCCAGTGCCCACTGCTTAGAAAACTATCCCCAGCACTAAACACCAACCAGAGAAATTCAGGAAATGTGTATAACTATGGAAATAACCAAGCCTGCAGTAGCCCAGAGACTGGGAACATGATGTGAGGATAGTAGGGGTAAGGCCACGCTCTCCTGAAGTGCCCGGCAGGTCAGAAGGTGCTCGAATGGAAATCCTCTACCCAAATATTCAGACAAAAGTTGTGAAAAAAGCCTCAGTTTGGCTACCACTTGGCCACCAAAGAAATGGACTGCAAACGGCACATGCTAACGTCACATCTGACTTGGCTCATATTCACTTTGAACCACAAGGAAAACTTAAAAAGCAAATTTTAAAAATGATCCAACAAACAAGAATGCCATGGAGAAGAGTGGGTTTGAATTGCTCCTAATTCAGAGGCAACTGGCTCAGTTATTTCACTTGGTACTTTTTAAACTGCAAGTACCAGAAAGAGGTATGTAAGCACAGGGTGACTAAAGGCATCAATTACACAGTACCCCCCAAAGAGAAGCTGAAAAAGGTCAACTGGCTAGAAGCACCCACTACTCCTCACTTATTAATGAATATCCCTGTTGTAATTTTGGAAATAACACTTTAACTAGTGTGCCACAACCACGGTAAGCCAGGATCTGCAGACTCCTCATCTCTTTCCAGGAATAAAGCATCACTCCCCGAGTTACGGTCTCACAGTATGGATAATACCTGGACTGCAATTTCAGAGTGGCTAAACGCCAAAACCTTCATAAACCATTTCGGGGAGTAACAGTTTGTGTTTTCCATCCTGGAAGCAAACATAGCAATGCTCCATCCAATCACAGACATTCATGATAATCATTCATCAACTTCAAAAAGGCCAAAAGCCCTACCTTTCCTACATAGAGAGGGTCTGAACCCATGTACTCCTCCAGCACAAAGAACTGATTCCACACCCAGCTGCGCTTGGTCCGGGACCTCCCTGATTGGAAGTAGGGCTTCGATCTGGATCTTGAGAGTTCTGCTTGACTCATCCCAGAAAAACACAGGAAAAGAGCTATCAGCTGCAGGAAATGGCAGAACTCCACTTTGCCCAACTTCATCTTTTTTTTTTCTTTCTTTTTCCTGTGTAAGAAAAAAACCTTGACAAGAGAAAAGGCACAGTTCCAGTCGGCTCAGTAGCTCTTGCCTCCGGCAGGGTGTCACCTGGGAGTCCAGAGACAATAATGTGTAGAGTGTTCGACTGGAAGCGGTCAGCACTGCTGAGTGACCTTCCCCAAAGAATGGTGGAACAGGCACCTATCAGAACAAAGAGAAGAGCTAGGGTCAGACACCAAAACACACCATAACTTTCAATCAACATTTACTAAAATAGTGGTTTTCCCAAGACAGCACTATTTGTGTAATCATTAAAATATTAATCATAAACTTAGAAATTTATCATAGGTGTTGCCGTACATACTTATAAATAACACAAATACTGCAGATGCTGAATTACCCTTATTTCATTAAACAACCTTAAAAATTCGTGTTCCTTCTAGGACATTCTACTTGGATATATGGTTTAACACAAATGGACCAACATCAGTTAAAAAATCATTTTAATGCCAGCCTTTATTATTTTTTTCGTTTATGTCACAGTCATTCATTGGCATTAGAATATGAAAGCAAAACAGCTCCAAGCAGGGATTTAACCAAATGGGAAGGACATATGCTGGTTTAAATCTCGTCTGTGAAACTAAAGAGGAATAAATAAGTATGAGGTGAATCAAAACCGGTTGATTGATTCTGAGTCACAGAACACCAGCTGTTTTGATGTGTTCTCATTTGATTGTGATCAGCTGAAAAGCTCAGTAGTTTCCAGTTTCCACTCTTCAAACTTACTGTCACATATGCTGCATGGTAGGTTATTTTATTGCACTGCAGTTATATGCTACGCCACAGATATTTACCGAACATCTTGAAGCACAGCTTGCACACAGTAGGGCCTTTATCCCCTAATAGTTATGGGATTAAACCATATTGATCATCCATAGAGGAGAGAAAACTCAACTGTACTTATGAGCCCCACTCATCGTCAGCATGTGCCCAGGACCTACTTTCCTAGAAGCATGGAAAAAAAACTTACTCTGATGTCTACTTATTTTGGATACAGGATCCTGATTATGAAAGAGATAATAATATCAGGTATAAACAAATTTCTAAACATACCCCAAAGCACAGAGGAATGAGAATTTATGATGAAATGCTCACTTACATCAAATTATGAATTTGACTACCTATCAATAAATCAACAACAGGAAAATTAAGGCAAAGGATTCACACTTATTTTGTTTTTTAAGGCAGAAGAGAAAATACAATTACACAAACACGAAACCAAAAGATAGCTCCCCGAAGCAGAAATATACCATCTTAACAAGCTTTTCCAGCTCTCTACCTGTCTCTTATGTAATAGGAGTGTCTGTTACTCATTAGATGATTTCTGACAGTCAAACTGCTAGGGAAAATGCCTTTATATAGAAGGTGAAATTTACTGAAATGTTAAAATAGTCGACACAACTGCAAGACACAGTTTCATCAGCTTTAAGCTCTACCGACATGAACATATTCATGTTAACAACATCTATAAAGTTTTGAAATACAAAGTTTGGAATCCCCAAAGGGCATTCCAGGGTGACACATCACATCAAGCTGATGTATATACATCAATGTACAGCTAATGGATGTACGCTGACAATCACCAGAAGACTGTAAACTATTATTGGAGCATATTAATGGCAGTCTTACATCGATCACATTTTCCCTGAATCCAGATCTCTCTTCTAAGGATCAAAGATGAAGTTGGTCCATTTAGAAATCACGCTAGTAGGACTGGTTGTTCTAGACATAGAATTATAAACACCAAGGCACTTGGGGTCATGGATTGATATACCACTGTAGGCCCCTGAATTACACTGAAAGCTCATTGGAGTGAGGTTTGGGATAACCCATCTAAGACATTCTCTCCGTACTTAAAGAAGAAAAGTAGATGCGTAGAACTGGTGCATGAGGGGAGTAGCCTGGAGTAGCCACAAGTCAGGAATCCTGCCCAGGCACTGGGAGTGAGTGGTCTTTAGTAAGCCAGCCGTCAACATGGCCAGGGGCGTGTCCTGCAGCTCCTTCATGCTAGCGGCAAACCAGGTTGCTGGGCACGGGAGGGTGGAAAGTTGTGGGGACACGCCTGGGACTGGCATGTGGAATGGCAGCCAGAGAACATTTCCAGGGTGGCCACTCTCCTTTCCCAAGACAGACCGAATTTCCTCCTAAAAACGATGACATCAATATTTTGGTCAGCAGGACAATTTTTTTTTCAAGTGGACATAGTTAAATTACTTTATTTAGGCTACTTTATGGATTAAGTGAATCTGGTAATATTGTTCCTAATGTGAAGATAGATCCAATTTCTAGAAAACTCAGGAAGAAATGAACTTCTGGAATTTAAAATTTGGGGAGTTGTCAAAAATGATAGTGGTAAAGACTGTTGGCATTTGCATTATGTAAAGATTCAAACTTTGAGTCTGTCATGTCTTAGCCAGGCAATTTTGGACAAGTTAAATTCTAAGAAGTCCCAAAGATGAAGCCTCTCACTTACAAAATGAAAATGATAGTAATTGCATCTACTTTATAGGATTAAATAAGCCAATAATGAAAAGCTAAGGATGGCTCCTGGTACAGCAAAAAGCATTAAAAATATAACTGTTGGATTCTTATCATGATGATATTTTTCAGTTCAGTACTAATTATGTTAAAATTAATGTTAGTTTGTGATTTCAGTTTTCATTTTAATGTTATCTGTGGGAAAACGTTTTAGACAACTGTTACACTGACTGAAAACATTCTTGATAGTTCGGTCAGTGCCAGAGAACTATACGGATCATAAACCAAAAAATCTGGATGGATACAAAGGCACCAAAATGCCTTCCTTAAAAACAAATGTAGTGTTTTCTTTCCTAAAGATATGTCCTCTGTAATATCTGTAAGTCAAAGACTGGTATCAGAATTGGAGAAAACTGAGTTCACTCAGGATATTCTCTGGTAAGGAAGAAAAGAAACATAATCTGGAGGAGGAAAAGGATCTCCAGGGTATTTGGTCTAGAACCTCCCCTATTTGCTGTATGACCTTGGATTCCTCCGGGATTTCATTTTCCACATTTGCAAAATGAAAGAGCTAAACTAAATTATCTGGTAAAGTCTGTTTTTTTTTTTTTTACAAGTCTTAACTTTTCTGCTTTTGACAATTATATAGGATTGCTTTTGTTGGCTTTTTTTCTTAGCTGTGAAAAAGTGCACGTTGTTAATAATTAAAGGGTAGAAAGATTTAAGTCATAGGAATGCAAAAGGAGCATTTGGCATGTTTATGAAATTTAGCGTGCATTTTAACAGAAGAAGGGTAAATCACTGTTCTTGCCTCTTGAAGACTGTTTCTCCTCCATACAAGGTGCTGGAGTTATCAAACTAGCTCGAATATAAAAAAGAAGTGAGTTACAGAACATGCTATGAATTACAGTCATTAAGATAACATTTGTGAAGGAAAGCTAACAGAGACTTCTGTACTTTCCTACTTAAATCAAGGGCTTAAAATCAGCTAATATTATAAACCTTTATGAAGAGAGAGGTCTACCTTTGTATCATTATGTCTAAATGGAAGTAGGCACTTAATTGACATTCAGCAAATATTCACTGTATTTTTTTTCATTATGACCAACCTCATTTTTTAAGATGGAAAAATTGACTATATAAGTCAATATACAAATGACTTGGTAACCCTACATGTTTATGAGTCACAATCACTTTGAAAACAATTCAACTAGTTCTTCAAAGTATCTGCAGTATTTGCCAGGCTCTTGGGCCAGTTTCTTTACCTTTCTTGAAGGTCTACAAGAGTATACAAGTAGACTTTCACTGGCTTTGTGTGCATTATTGGATGATAAAAATTCTCTTTTATGACGCACACAGATGCCTTTGCAATACAATACCCTTTGTGGGTGCACTTGTGAAATCAGAAAATCACATGGGAATGATTGTGATCTGAGTAGGAGTTTGTAACGAGTTCCTCAGTATTTTTGGTAGACCCTAACTCTGCCAGGAGTACATGCCCAACACAGCAAGGGGAGGGTCTGCTCATAGCCAGGTGGCCCCTTTACCAGTCTTCCCCCCAATCCTTCCTTTCAACCAGATCTGGTCTTCAAGGTGACAACCAGTACAGCTGTACAACCTAATTCACCGTCTTGAGTTGGATATCAGGAAAGAAACGAAGGGCCTTGAAGCATTATGAACTTGAGATTCCCTCCTACATAACCTCTCCAATCAGCCTTCCTATTTTCACACACACATCAATATGTAGCAAGGGGCCACAATAACATCTTTTACATAAAAATGAACTTGAGCACACAACCAGTCACAATTGCTGACTTTTTTCACCATGGATTAAATATTGCCTCCCAAATCTGTACCCCAATGCAAAAAAAAAAAAAGACTGCACCCTTTCTCCTTAGATCCATATTATCTTCTCCCTTTCTTCTACCTCCTCTCCTATCTGGGTTTCCTGTGGACACGTGAACAAGGGGAAAGTCACATCAGAAACAAGCAGAGACTTCTGCACCCAAGCTGGGCCATCGTGTCTTCTGTGGGAAAGCTTAGGAGAGTGACCTTCTGGAGGTCTGGAAAGCTCACCTGTTCACTGTTACTAGCTGTATAGCACAGGAAAAGATGGTACAGGAAAAGAATGATGTATTGGTACATGGTTAGGTAAGTTCTACAGATACGTGTCCACTCCTGGACAGTGACAATGTGTAGTATTATAACTGAGGACAAAAACAATAGGAATAGGTTATACCTGAGAACTAAATAGGGGCCAGCCACGGATGTTTGAAAAGAGTAGGGGTGATGGCTACTGGACTAATCATCTAAAATTTAAAGATTACCTGAGTAAGATTTATTTAGTTTTCTGTTCTGGTATTTTAAAGCTAAAACTTTTTAAATTAACAATACACATTTTTTTAATTTTGCCAAACTATATATACATAGACATCACCACATATAATACTGTGAGCAACACAACACATCTTAATCAAAAGAATATAAAATGAAACCTCTCAAAGGAAATTTTAAGTGGATTAAAGCAAAATGGGAAAAAAAGGGGGCAGAATCAGCCAAGCGGTATTACTGAATCAACATCATTTATTAAAGTGAACTGAAATCACTTTATCATGCTACCTTTTTTGTTCCAATTATTTTTGTTCAACTAAGTGGCAAAGAAT